ATCCACTTTACTTATCTCCAGCTTTCACCTCGCATCTCCTCCTCAGGTGGACAAAGAAGTCATTTCAAAAGACCTTACGCGCTCACATTTAAGAATAAAAATTCCACAATACCATATTTGGTGGCACGTATTTTATGTGATGAAAATAGTGTCAGGGACGAACTAACTAACTAACCTTCTTTGCACTAGTAAATAAACCATTTTCTCCATCCTTATACCATTAAGTCTTACGGTTATTATTCCTATCATATTTATAGTCCTCTTACTTAAGCTCTGTAATAATTGTTATTTTTTGTTTTTCCCCTCATCATGTTATGTCAAGAGAACATTAGATTCAATACTCTATAACATGCTAAGATTTACATACTGACTGTATCGACATTACTGTTTGAAACAAACCCATTGTTATTATTCTCATTTTATACTTTGCACATTTTTGACTTTATTCCTACTGGAAATGTGGACAAATTCCTGTGGTTAATTTTATTTATATTTTGAGTAAATTAAATGCGAGATATTGTGACAAATGCTGAGAATTCCATTCTGTATTATAAGTACTGGTTTTTCTTTTGGAATAAATCAGATTATTATTATTATTATTATTGTTACTTCATACAGTCTATTGCAATAGAACTGCTTTATTTCTTCTTAGACCCCAGTGATGCTCATTCAAACCCCTATAGATAGGTGAATGAGGTGCCAGTGGACTCTCTCTCACTGAGTCCCATGTTAGCAGATTTCTCTCTGAGTAAACTAGAAAATAATCCTTTAAACAGCCTTATCAAAAAATTCTCATTTTATCCCCCGGTATATGGATATGTCACACTCATCCTTTATGAAAATGACGTACATTCAGATATCAAATTCACTTGTGGAGAGAGGAATTCCTTTTCAGACATCCTACTGACAAAGAAGACCAGATGGTAGTTAGTATAAAATAGAATTTGTATCAGAAAAGTACTTGGACGGATCGGTCGACACATTTTCACAATTGGCTTTGTTCCTCTCTAGTATAAGAGATACTTAGCAAAGACCCTCAGTTATAGGGTCAGAGGTATTTCTTCAGAAGATGAGATTAAACACTAACTTATCGTTGTAAAGGACATGTCAACTGAAAACAGCTACCCTGAAAAATTCATCATTTGAACACATGGTCAAGAGAGTAGAAAAGAACTATTCTCTCGTATCTTCAAAGGAGTTAAATCGATTCAAAGAACGTTTAATGCCGGTTGACAGCGGTTGTAATTCTAAAACTGAAAGATGAAGTACCTAGACTAGTTAACCACCTCTTATTGTATCTATCAGTTCAACTCTTCCCGTTGTACTCTAGGAACCCAATTTCTCGTGCTCAAGAACACCTACGAATGTGCTTATATAAAGGTATTATTATTATTAAATACAATGGATGATATCTGTGTTGCTATGCTCTATCCACTGGCTAGCCAGCTAACTAACTAACTAACTAACTAGCAGAGTCAACAACCCCAATCAATCGTATGAAAAATATATAATAGTGAGCACATTTCACTTCAACAATGGATCAACACTTCACCCTTCAAGATCATATTATTTTATCACCACAGTTTTCTTTGAAAACTTGTGATAGTATAAATAGGCAGTCAAGAAAGATCCACCATAATTGCATGATACTACTACTACTACTACCACTAATACTACTACTAATTAACTGATTTGAGTAGTTGGTTACTCTTAAATGTATTTTGTTTCACCAGTTCGGTGAAATAGTTAGCCAGAATTAATATCAGGTGATTTGTACTGATTCACGCCTGCGTCTTTCTATCTCTCTCTCTCTCTCCCTGTCCCTCTTCGTTGAGTTAAACCTGGGTGAGGAGTAGATTAGCACCTCTATAAAAAAACGAAGGAAACAACTACCCGGTGACTGGATTTCTTCAATCTGACTGGTTGGATAGCAAGAATTGTCGGGTAAGATGAATGGGGTATCCAACTACTGCTACTACTACTACTACTACTACTACTCATATTAATGAGTTAGCCAGTAGTATATAACATTGGTGTGCATTAATATACTACTGTTATTTTATTAGTACTACAATTATGATTATTAGATGAAAAGCTGTTGAAGTCTGTAAAACATGGTAATGGTAATCCATGAATATTGACTATTATGGGAGGGGGGCGGGTGGGTTAGTAAACTGAACCGGCTTAAACTTTTCAAGGTAATAACGAGGTCTTTGCATTAAGCAATCGATATGAAGTAGAAAGAGCCAGGTAGGTTATAACTCTAATAATCATGAGAAAACTAAGATTTTCTGCGGTGCATTGAAGTGGGGTGGGGTGGGAGAGGCGAGAAACTGATGAAATAGACCTTTGGGACAACTGCATCATTAAGCTCTCATTCAAAAATGAATAGTGGTCAGCAAAGATGGGCTACATGAATTATATACAATAATAAGCGGATAAAAGCCAATGCTCTCATAATCCTAAAATATTTATGAAGCTATAAGCTCATGTTATGTAATAATATTAGTGACATGATTTCAAAGGCTAGGTTAGATATACTGTTATTCACCTAAGAGAAATATTTCTGTAACATTCCGGTGTTAAAGAGAATGGAGGAGAAATACCTACTAACCGTCTTCAAAGAGAATGGAGATCCATACACAATTTCATCAAAAAGTGTTTAAAATCGAGTCACAACACCACCAGCAACAACAAGCCAACGTCAAAGACCACAAGAAAATCCATCCTACCATATATATACAAAGAATATCTCTGAAATAACAGCTAGAATATTTAGACTGTTTGAAATAGATATATCAAGCTAGCCAGCCAGTCGGCACAGTCACTTCAAGCATCAATATTTTGCGAACCAAAATACCCGACAGAAAAAGAAGATAAAATTAATACCACCTACAGAAATAAATGATTGTGTGAACTGTAACAGACATTACATCGATCAACAAAGTGGGTGTCCCCTTCGACTCAGAATCCAAGAACACAAATTAGCTGTAAAAAGACATGATACATGTTCCTGTTTCATATCAATGCATGTGGATAATTATGGGAACCAATTTCAATGATTTGGAGAATGTCGAAATTTTAAACAGAGGAGACACTAAAAATGCAGTCAGGGACTTTCTACCAGCCTGGTAATCAGGTGATTCAGCCAGCGATAAAACAAACATATTAATTACTGTAGACCAAATTTACCAGCTAATATAGAAGTAAATCATCACATGACAAGTTAGAAAGTTAGAAATTCCAAGTCAATTAAAAAATATGATCAATAGAGAGGTAAAAATTAATAACCAGTCACGCAAGACACTGGTTGTCAGGAGATACAATTAGATCATTATTCATGGAGAATTTAAATGAGTTCATTTCACAGACTAAAACCTGAGTTGAAGGGGGACGGCGAAAGCTTCGTAACTTAATCACCAACTAGCTCCTCAGGGAGAAAACAACACTAATTCACTAAGAAACATCTCTTTCATTGACTTCATATTTAATAAGTCATAAGATAAGGAAAGATAAGACAAACCTTCATTACTCTCTGAAATAAGTTTGGAAGACTATCGCACTCAGACTAAAGAACCAGATTCAGATTTGTAAAACACAAAAATGTAAATCTGTCAGTCAGTCGGTTACTTCTGCTTCTTCTATGTGGATTAGAAATTTGACCAGCGTGCCATGCAAAAAGAATTTCTAACACGCTATTCGAGTGACTTTTATCAACAACTGCCCACTTCGCTAGCTCCACTACTGAAGACCAGATAGTCAGTCAGCCAAAAACGAATAAACAGCAATAAACTGTGGGGAAAAAACCAACCAACCAACCAAACCAAGAACCTATAGCTCAATAAATATTCCAAAGAACATGGAGTTGCATGTTTGACACATGCCACTGAGGAGACCATTGGGTCATATTACACAAGTCAAGCCATCGCTCGAAAGGGAAGTGATAAGTTGCACGTGGGTGTGAGAGTGACACGGAGGAGATCATTTGAGGAGGCAATGAAACCCAGCTGATGACGAGGATCACAGGGAATAGGACAAACAAGGAGACGACTGACGTTGCTCAGCCGTTTTCTCGTAATATAAATAAGTAGAACTACTGTACAGTTGCTTAAAAATGAAGTTGTCAGCATTGGGTATATTTTGAGATTTGAAGAATCACTCTGTTATTACGTAACATGTAATCACTAGTCGAAAAAATGATTTATATTAACTAATATCAAGTCAATGATTTACTTAATTAGTAGGTCTCAGGCTGTGAACCATTATGATTATATCAAAATTAATGATACTATAACTGCATATAGAAGCTAAAGTAAGCACAGTGAGGTATGAGTTGCGTCAAAGCCTGTTTCAGCGTATTCTAGGCTAGTCAAAACAAAAATTAAAAATAACAGCTTAAGGACTCAAAGACAAACTAGTATTGATCGATTTATTTTATACCTAAGTGTATTTTGGTGTCTAGAAGGTACCTTGTTAACCTGAAGATTACACAATATGTGATACAACCGCTGCAATTTCAATATTCTGAATCAGTAATCAATCAATGGGTCTGGATTCGAATTCCAGTCAATGTATTCCTGAATCTTCTCAGGTTTACTGTGAATGTAGTAAGCCCAGAAGGGGAGGGCAGTTTGGGCTTAAGATGAGCAACCCTACGTCTCAGGACTTGAAGTTTTATCATTTCACTAGGAGCAGCGATAGCTACTCAGTAGCCTTATTAGTCATTGTTATTCTGACTTATCAATAGATCAGGCAAGCTCAGAGGAACTAATCTAAATGACATATATACGCAAAAGTTTCTTTAGGGGGGTCACACATATACAAATTTAGATGTTTTATCCCTCTCTCACGTCGGTATATTACTGATGATCATGTTGCCATCATGCACCAGGGGTGGCGATACATTTACCATCAAATACTAAAACCTAGAGAACATCAATCAATCTACAAAACAGAGTAAGCCCTTTTTTTCATAATAAGCAAAAATTAAAAGAACTTACTTGTTGGGGTTTATTACTTGAGTTCATTTATTGATTTTTCTGTTGTTGTTGTAGTTGTTGTTATTCACGTAATTCCAAGAATAGGTGAAATACAATACAGGATGTATAGATGTATGTGTATGTAGTTATAGATAAATAGATAGATCAATATATATCCCAAATCAATATTGAATATAGAATGTTATCAAAAAAGTTGGATATTCACAATAACTTCGATGCATTGAATAGTAATGAGTACTATAAATCCACTGAAGAGTTTCTTTTTTATCTATGTGAGATTGTATTTCCTGATAATTGATGGATGGCTGGATGAATCGATCGATTAATGATTTTTTTGTAATGGAAGGAAAGAAGTGTGTTGTATCGATGGGTAGATGTACGCAGAAAGGTAAACAATCACCAATAAGTACTTGAACGTGATCAGTCGATCAATCAATCAATCAATCGATTAGGAATATCAGAATGTCCAAATTCCAAAATAGGATAAATATTTTTGTTGAATTTATCACCTAAATTATGATAAATCTGTCAATATATTATTTGAAGGCCATCTAAGGTTGCCCATGTCAGTCGCCTTCATTATAGATAGAGACAAAGATAGATAGAGTCACGCAGAGTTCTTAACGAGATAAATAACAAGTCAGATAGAGAGAGAGTACGTATACTGCTTGCTGTGAGAAGAGTGCCGTCAAACTGTCAAAAACTGTCAGAAATTTATCGCATGAATACTGACTGTGCTAGAACGCCTGTGATTGTACGTATGTGTAAGTGTGTGTGTGCGTGTGTGTGTGGATAAAACGACCTGTCAAACTGTCTAAATTTTGATATATGCAAGGGGGTGGATAGAAAGATTTACAAAGGGTAGAAATATATATATGCATATAAAAAAGCCAATAGGTGTAGACAGACAAACAACCAAGCAGGCAGTTGAAATCATGCATTTCAGATTGGATATTTCCGGTTGGTTTAAACATACAACCGACTTCCGTTCAACCAATCAGAATTCAAAGACCTCAAATACCTAATCTATACACTGATTGGTTGATAGAGCGGACTAATAAGCGTTAACTAGTATGTTATACTTTTTCCGCGTAAATGATTGGTTCATTGAGATTCTGTCAACTGTATTGTGGAGGTGGGTGGGATATACGTTTCAACCAATCATCGTTAATATGACAATGATGAAAAATTTGTTTTTTAGTTGAAACTAGCATGATGTGTTTCTTTTTCTTTAGAAAACAATTAATCATTTTTTCTTGAAAAATGGAGGAATGATAAATGAGTATATGTATATATTCGTCCTGGTGTTTGGGTCGATGAGAAAATTCAATGGTTGTTTTTCGTTTTCACAGAACATTCGTCACAAGATTTAGGACTAATGGTGTAACTGAATGACCTTGGATATCCTATCGATAACAGGCAGAAACAGTGAATACATACAGGTAAAAATGGGTTGTAAAATATCACTAGACAGTAGGCAAAAAAATATCTTGCCTGTCAGTAACAGTACAGAAAAGCCCGTGCGCGTCCACACACATACGCAACCAAATTGTGAGAAGTTAAGTTGTTTAACCTGTACGGCATTACTTGGCAATGGCTACTTGGTTTCTCCTTCATCCCTTGGATTCCAAGTAGACTTCGAGGCTCCAGACATTAAGTTCTCTAGGTAATTCTAAGCAGTTAGCGACCCAAAACGGAACAACCTAATAATAACCTTGAGGAATATCTGTCGACCAATCACATGAGTCTAAGGTAAAAGCACGTAATTTAGAAAAAAATATTTGTAGAAAAGAAGTGCAGTAATTCAAGAAAACCTCCCAATTTCTCATTGAAATCCTCATGGATAGGCCAAACCGATTTATATACATGAATTCCTCCAGATAATTGTAAAGTATCATGTTTCTTGACCAATTCACCACTCTGATCCCCTTTTTTTAACTGACTCCATAAACTTTCTATGGGATTTGTGTGATTCCCATTGGAAAGAATTACCAAAGTCACTCATTGGGAAATACAAAAAACCTTTATTTTAATGAATATCATATACCCAATGCCTAAATTTTTTCAGACTGTTAAAATTGAACTTGGTTTGGACATATAAATGTCAAGTACCTTGGACTGAGTATTTCCTCCGATCTTTCCTGGTCCTCTCACATCTTGCTAGTGACTAGAAAGATGTTTCGCTTAACGTTCTACGTTAGGAAGTTTAGGCAGTCTGGTATAAAGCAGTCTTTGCTTTCTCAGTTTGTCAACTCTTGTATTCTACCCATCCCTCTTTACTGCTCCCCATTAATCTTTCCTTGACTATTTAAGAAAGACTTTGCTTTGCTGCGTAGGGCACTAAATGCTGTCAGTAGGGCAAGTGGGATTTCGTTAAATCAACTGGTTAACACCATTGTGGATAGACATATAATGTCATGTAAGAAACTAGTGAATACTATATTGTCTGACCCCGGACACCCTCTCCATACGCAGCTCTCTCCTTGCATTTCATCTGGTAGAACTAGAAGCAACTATAGGAGGCTATATGCCAGGACTACCAAGTACAAAAACTCCACAATACCTTATCTGGCACAGCTGTTATGTGATGAGAAATCCGTTAGGTATGACACGATCAACTTACTGCGGCACTCTAACAAATAGTTCCCATTAGCTTTTGTTCTCCTTTCTTTGTTACTACTATATTGTTGCTCATATATTCCATTACAGACCAACTTTATATACCATATCCTGTGGTGCATTGTTTAAATATGTGAATGCAATGCTGTTCTTTTTTATTTCTTTTATTTCTCTTTTTTCTTTTTGTTTGTTGTTGCTTTATATTTTTAAATCCTTATAAAATTTATGAGGTAATCAGATGCAATATTGTAATGAACGCTGAAAATTCCATACCTGTACCACAAATACTGTTTGGAATAAAGCCATTATTATTATTATATATAAATTACCAAAGTCATCTGTACGATTGAAGACATTGTGAATGTGATCCAGGGATGAGAGTTGGTTGTAACTACTCCATTGATCTGTGTGTATGTTTGTACCAGGTAAGACTGAAGGTTGGATTATTGGTAAGAAAACATTCATGCTACAGTTAGGTATTGTCTGGATGCATCATTTTCACAATGTGATGTCATATAATCTTAAAATCCATTACTGATTGGCATTCAGTCTACCGCGATTATATTTCCTTTCCATCACGGTACAGTTTCATCCATATTGTTCATTTTCCATCAAGTTATATCTCCGTAGTACTGAAACCACTGCACTTCAAACATCTGTGAGTATTTTATTTCGAATACCATCGCTGTTACCAGTCACTTTAAGACGTCATGAAAATTTTCGTCAAAGTAACTTCGACTTGGCGAAGAAAGTACCTACAGCATTTATTAACCAACGAACAAATTATCCTCCTCGACAGTCTGGGCATCTGTACACAAATCACTTAATAGAGTCTGTGTGTCTTTGTAAATGTATTAATTACTCTTCCACACCTGCATATCTTCTGCCTTCCTATGAGTCTATTATTCCAAACAGTATTTGAATACTAAATTTGGATGAAACCTGCATGGCATCCATAATACCGCCTATATACTACGGCCTTATCTGATTGGCTAATCAAAGCGATAAATCCGTTTATTAGTTAGTTTCACTATAGTCTAGAGTTGCCGTTTTAAAAAGGCCGCCACATATTGAATAAAACAAATTAACACTATGAATTGATTGGTAGTAGGATTTCATGATGAGTTGAAATCGGTTAGAGAACCATTGGAAAACCGGCTGGGAGTACTGGTCAGCCAGCTGTTTCGTCAGCCTAGTGCTTGGGACTCTTCACCAGTGTGCACCCGCCAACACAGTTCGAAACCAGGACCTTCTGGTTACAAGGCAAACTAGCTTGTAGACGATTAAGCCACTGGGACCCGGTTCAATGGCCAGCCCATGAATTCTAACTTCTACCAACCAATTAATGACATGGCACGACCATTTCGCAATGTCGTCTTCGATGAGTTACTGCCTCACCTTCAACCTGATGTACCCTACTGGTCACTATATGTATAAAACAATGGGCTGTGTGAAACACAGTTTCTCCGTCCATTTTGACCCATTTACTTATTTATTTATTTATTCCAACAGGCTTTAAATCTTCACTAGTTCCAAGCTGAAGATCAGTTGTCCTGTGTGTCCTGGATTGGACACACACTGATGAGGAGACCGCTGAGTGACTTCACACGACAAGCAGGCTCTTGAGATGGATCCGAATGAGGAGTATGACATGGAGGAGATTGCGTGATGGTGAGGTGGAGATGACGGGTTTTGGGGCAATCGTGTGTAACGGAAAAATTGTTTGGAAAATACCCTCGCCCCACCCCCACGCCCCCGGAAAGATCTAATCACAGTAATATTTATACTTATTTGGGTGTTTCATATAACTTTGAGCAACTCTGAGCTAGCTGGCTGGTTTATTTGTGAAGCTTTCTCATCGCCCTACTAGACAAAATCTTCAACGCATACTTCAATTTGAAAGCTCTGCAAATAAACCATCCAGCTAGCTTACTCAGAGAACACACAACTACATGAAAATCATCCACCTGAGCTACAAATTTTCTCCATCATTTCTTTCTGCAAGACTGACTGTATATCATTGTCGTGACATTTGCATATATCACACGTTGTATTTACCCATTTATTATTTTTCACTGTCTCTCCCTGATTAATCTTTAATTTGAATACTTCTCACTGTGCCCGTGTATACATTGATAATGTGTTGTTTTACGATATGGATTTGTATGAGTTAGGGGAGGTCATTCTTAACCTTGGATTGTCTGCAGAAAGCATTAGTGTATGTGTGTGTAATTCTTGTGGACAAAGGTTTTTATGATCTCACCCATCTTGGAAATATTCTTCTTGATTCTAAGTACTCATTTTGAGTACTTAGACTGAACTGTATATCTAGCTGCCTAACGGTGATTTTGAGTTTTCGACGTGATTATTATTTTCTACAGTTTGGTTTGTAAGGGTTAGTTATGTTG